GTTTATACTGGCCCATGGGGCCCCCGCCTTAGCATCCTGGGAGGGCCTGGGCTCTGGGCATGCCCCATGAGTTCCCACACCCCACCATCTCCCCAACCCTACCCTCCTCCACGTCCAGGGCAGGGGTGAGTGGGGGGGAGCTTTGGCCCCCTTGGTACAGGAACAGATGGATCAGAGGCAGGAGGGAGAGAGGGGAAAGGCAGACAGTCAGACAGACAGCAATGGGCCCTCCCCACGTAGGTGACACCAGGGCCGTCATAGGCATCCCTGGAGGCCCCTCCCCTGACAAACCAGGTCATCCTTATGAGCCCCCTCAGTGGAAAGTCTCCTCCCCCTGCAGCCCCTTACCCCCAGGGCCCTGCTTCCGGACCCTCTGCACACTCAGTAAGTCAGGGTTGGGTGGGTCGGTGGGGAAGGGAGGGGGAGATAAAATTCTTCCTGGCAGTTTCAAGAGTTTTGGCATTTTCACAAGGGTGCATGTAATATTTAAATGACTTCCCCTCAGCACGCCCTCATGCCTGCCTTGGCTTCCCCAGGTGAATTTGTAGGCGCTGAAATGGTCTAATTTCCCACACAAGCCATGTCAAATATAATTTGGGTGCGAAGTCGGTAATTATACGTAACATCAGTCTGATGTTAAAAACACTGAAAAATTTAGCAAGAAGAGAGTACTGGAGAGACATGAGTCTGAGGCCCAGCCAGAAACAGGCAGGCCCGGGCTCCGCAGAAGCCAAAGTCTTTAATTAATGATAGCATGTTTTCAGGGACTCAAAGGACGCAGGTCCCCAACTGTCTGAAACTCCTTTGTCTACCAATTACCAGAATCTGGGGAGGGGGAGGCAGGGAGGAAGTCGAAGGGGGGCACCCAGATCCTGGCGGAGAGTTGCCAAGGTTTGGGCTGGGGCTGCGGCTCACCTGAGGAGAAAGATCCTGCTGTCAGGTGACCCCACTCTGCTCTTCCCTCACCAGAGACCAATCCCGGCCTCCAGGGTCGGCGGGAGGAGGGGGCTCGTCTCCCCTTGACTCTATGGGTGAACTGTGGGGAGGGGACGAGGTTTGGCTACTAGCCAAGCAGCCCCACAAGGCTTAGAGGGTCCACAAACAATACCTGTCCCCCTCCTGATTTAGGTGGGGTTTTTCTTTTCTTTTCAGTTTAACGGACTGTTTCTATGAGGACAGGGACCACATCTTGTTTGCTCAGCTCCGTGTCCCTGGATCTGGCACATAGTAGGTGCTCAATAAATATTTGTTACCCGAATATACTGTATGAAACAAGCTCAAATTACTCCTCACTCTAATCCTGTGTGGACCAAAAGGGACCCCAGCACAGGAGACATTCGAGGGACTAAGGGGACAGGCACCAAGCTTGGATTAGGGTGGTGATTCCACACTTACAAGTGCTGTGACCTTGAGACAGTTTCCAAAACTCTGCCTCAGTTTCCTCATCTGCAAAATGGGCATATTAATAGATCTACCTCCTAGGATGACTGTGGATTCTGGATGAGACTCTCAGCGTCAAGCGCTCTGAACAGTGCCTGGCAGGTAACTCTTGTTTTGCTGAGGGAGATGGGTGAGGTGTGGCTTTGTAGAACAGCTCTTCAGAAGGGTTTCCAGAGGCTGTATGAGGACCAGGAGAGAAGGGGCGGCCAGCAGGGCACAGGCACCTGGAGGAACAAAACAGAGATTTCCAGTGGACAGCTTGGAAATGTTTCTGCCACTGGGGGCATGACAAGAAGACTTTCTCCCTTGACTCCCTAAGAAATCTTTAATAAAATATTCTCTGTCTCTTGGTACATGAAAGGGAGTTGTTTCTGTTTGGGATGTATAGCCTCCAGGTGGGCAAGGATGTAAGCGGACACCTGTGAGAGGTGACCATATCCAGAGGTGGGTACTATTATTGTTATTGAGGTTTTTAAAAAAAATTTATTGGAGTATAGTTGATTTACAATGTTGTGTTAGTTTCAGGTGTACAGCAAAGTGACTCAGTTATACATGTACATATACCCTCTCTTTTTTAGATTCTTTTCCCATATAGGTCATTACAGAGTATTGAGTAGAGTTCCCTGTGCTGATGTGAAAGCACGGCTCAGAGAGGTTAAGTGAGGGGCCCGCACTTCACACTTTGGCGTGGTGGGTTTGCCTTCCCACTCTCTGCTCTTAACCCTCTGTGCTCCACTGAACATACCGGAAATTCTGCCAAATTATAACAAAAGCCGTAGCTGACATGAAGAACTTTACTGAGAGTCAGACGTCCTGGTTTACCCCCACTTCATCCTAACCGCCCTTGGAGGCAGGAACTGTCGGCATCCCCATCTTACAGATGAGGAGGTTGTGGCTCTGAGGAGTTAACTTGCCCCAGGTCACAGGACGTAGGACATGGAATGAAATCCAGGCCGACCCCACAGGAGCCCTTAACTGGGAAGGGACCACCTCCTCAAACGCTGCCCTTATCCTGCACCCCTGCCACAGCTACACCTTCTGCAAAGTGGTCCTCAGCCCTGAACATTGGAATCATCCGGGGACATTAAAACCACTGATGCCCAGGGCTTCCCTGGTGGCGCAGTGGTTGAGAGTCCGCCTGCCGATGCAGGGGACACGGGTTCGTGCGCCGGTCCGGGAAGATCCCACATTCCGCGGAGCGGCTGGGCCCGTGAGCCATGGTCGCTAAGCCTGTGCGTCCGGAGCCTGTGCCCCGCAACGGGGGAGGCCAAAAAAGGGAGAGGCCCGTGTATCGAAAAAAAAAAAAAAAAAAAAAAACCCACTGATGCCCAGGTTTGAAGTGGCCTGGGTCCTGCGTGAGCAACAGGATTTTTTTAAAGCTCCCAAGTTGTCCTCATGTTGGGAACCCCTGCCTTTGTCCTGCTTCAGCTAAATCCTCTTAAGCTTTTCTATAACTATAATTCTGTGCAACTATAACGTGCACACGGATCACCCGGGGATCCTGATAAAATGCAGGCTCTGATGCAGGGGATCTCTCTGGGTTGGAGCCTGGGCTTCTGCATTTCTAGCAAGTTCCCAGGTGATGCTGAGGCTGCTCCTACAAGGACCACGCTTTGAGTACTGAGGCTCCACACCAACGGCTCTCGAGCGTGTCTGCACATCCAACTCATCTGCGGAGTTTGAAAAAATTTGGATGCCTGGGTCCCAGCCCAGAGATTCTAGTGTCACTAGAAAGGAAGACTGGCAATTTTGGGGGCAGGGTCACTTTGAAAAAATACCAAAGCCCAGGCCACATCCCCGGCCAATTAAATCAGAGTCTCTGGGGTGGCACCTGGGCACCTGCATTTTTTAAAGCACTCAGGTGATTCTGACCAACAGCCAGGCTTGAGAACTAGAGCTTTGAGCTGCGTCTCACATAGTGTTTGCTGTCACCAAATCCCATCAAACCCAAGATTTTATTTCCTTCTTCAGGGCTTCACATTCATCGGGTCTGGGGTGGAACCCAGGAGTCAGCATTCTTAACACACTTCCCAGGGGCTCCTGATGCAGGCAGACCCCAGGCCACGGGTCAAGAAACGCTCCTCCATCATCCTCATCCTCAGCCGCTGCTCAGCTAGCCCTCTACGCAGCATCCACCTCAGCCAGCAAGAAGTATTCACCCGGCTTGTGAGGCCAAATTCCTCAGGACCCCGGGAACCTCCACCTGGGGAGATGAGAAAGGCCACAGAGGGAGACCGGAGGCGAAAGCTGAAGAGTGGCTGGCCGTGGCTGTAACCTGTCACACCTCTGCGGTTGACCAGCGCTCCGAGGTCAGCTCCGCCCTGGGACAGGCAAGGATTCAGGACTGCTGGCTTCTGAGGAAGGCAGGGGTCGGGCAGAGACTGGAAAACCAGACAGGAGGACTCCTGTCTAGCCAGGTCCTCCCCGCCCCGCCCCGCCCCCCCCCCACCCCGGCTCCCTGTACCACCCACCTGGGCAAGTCAGAACAACATCCCCACCCCATGCCTCTATTCCCGCATTTCTCAAATAAAAAGAATAAACTCTCCCCACCCCACCGTGTATGTGTGTTTTCTTTTTAGATTAAAGTAGTGATTGCTCAAGGCAATGAATTAAAACAGATCAGAAGCATATGAGGTGAGGAGTCTCTTTTGCAGGAACCACTGTTAATAGTTTCTTGTGTGTTTCCAGACATTTTCTTTGCAGGTACAAACACACCAACATCTGTATACACTTTTTAAAAAACGAGATGGTATATGTTGTTACAATTTTTTTTTGCACTTAGCAATGTATCATGGGTACCTTTCCATGGAATTCCATAGGATCTATCTCATTCTACTTGAAGGCTGCATAATATTCCACAATATTGATATACCATTTTTTATTTAGTTATTCTTCTGCTGGTGGACATTTAGGCTGTTTTCTTTTTTTTTTTTCCTACATAGGCAATGATGCAACAGACACCATTATATGGCCACCTCTGAATACTTCTACAAGCATGTCTCTAGTACATTCCTGGGAATAACATTAAGGTTCACCCAAATTTCCATCTCTCTCATTTTATAAGAGGTTGACAAACTGGCGTTTGCGATTTGCATGGATCTTTAATGAGAAGGGACAAGTTGGTGTAACTCTGTCTAGAGTGGACAGGGCTGCCATGAATTTTGCACCACAGTAGGATTTCACTTAGAAACTGATCAGCAACACCTCCCTTATTTCCATCCTAAACAGCAGCACCAACACTATCGTCAAATCATGACTGCCAGTACCACTGTCCCCACCAGCCAGACCATCAACACCAATGCCATCACCGTAACCACCAACACCGTCATTTCCATACCAGCCTGTGTTCTCAGTTGCAGACAACAGAACCCACTCTGATTTAAGTGGAAAGGTATTATAAAAAGGTATTAGGAAAATATCTAAATGTAAAACCTAGAATTAGAAAACTCCAAGAAAGAAAAACATAAGAGAAATTCTTTAAGACCTTGGATTAGGCAAAGATTTCTTAAGACAAAGGCACAGATCATAAAAGATAAAAATTGATGAATTTAACTTCATCAAAACTTAAAATGTCTGCTTTTGAAGACATTGTTATGAAGATGAAAAAGAAGCCACAGACTGGGAGAAAATATTTGCAAAATGCACAACTCATGAAAGACTGGTAACCACATATACAAAGAACTCTCAAAACTCAAAAATAAGAAAAGAGACAATCCAATAAAAATATGGGCTAAAGATTTGCATAGACACTTTCCCAAAGAAGGTATATGGGTGGAAAATAAGCACTTGAAAACATGCTCAACATCAATAGTCACTAGGAAAATGAAAATTTAAACCATAATGTGATACCACTACCCACCTATTTGAATGGTTCAAATTTTAAAAAACTGACAATACAAAATGCTCGCAAGGATGCAGAGTAGCTGGAACTCTCATACACTGCTGGTGGGAATGCAAAATGATGCATCCACTTTGAAAACTTGTTAGGCAGTTTCTTGTAAGGTTAAACATATACTTAACACATGACCCACCAATCCCACTCCTAGGTACTTACCAAAGAGAAATTGAGGTATATGTCCTTGCCAAAAACAAACAAACAAAAAACTATATGTGTAGGTTTATAGAAGCTTTATTCATTACCAAAAATTGGAAACAACCTAAATGTCCATCAGCAGGTGGATGGATAAACAGATTATGGTATATCCATTCAATGGAATACTATTCAATAATAAAAAGGAACAAATTACTGGTATATGCAATGACATGGATGACTCTCAAAAGGATTATGTTAAGTTAAGGAAGCCAGACTCAAAAGGCTACATACTGTGTAATTCAATTTATATGACATTCCAGAAAAGGCAAATCTATAGCAAAAGAAACCAGATGAGTTCCTCTATCCCCAGTAGGAGGCTGGGGATAGAGGAGGGGATTCAACAGCATCAGTGATGTTCTGTTAATGTTTAACAACCAGCTCAGGACAAGTGAGAGATTTTCTATATATATATATATATATATGTAAATGTATGTATGTGTATATAGGTATACATGTGTATACCCATGTATATGCTTATCATAAATCTTACTGATATAAAAGATGTGTAGCACATATATTTTTTTATTTGAGCAAAATTCACCTAACATACAATTGTACCATTTTAAAGTGTACAATTCAATGGCGTTTGGTGTATTCACAGTGTTGTGCCACCATCACCTCTCTCTAGTTTCACAAGATTTTCATCGTCCCTGAAAAAAACCCCTTACTCATCGAATTCTCCCCATCCTCCCCTCCCCCATCCCCTGGCAACCACTGCTTTGCCTTCTGTCTCTGTGGATTTGCCTGTTCTGGATATTTCACATAAATGGAACCATACACTATGTGACCTTTTGTGTCTGGCTTCGTTATTCGTTTAGCATAACGTTTTCAATGTTCACCCAAGTTGTAGCATGTATCAGTACTTCATTCCTTTTCATTGCTGAATAATATTCCATTGTACAGATCCCCAGTAATTTCTTTGTTTATCCATTGATAGATATTTGGGTTGTTTCCACCCTTTGACTATATGAATAATGTTGCTATAATCATGTATGTACAAGTTTCTATGTAGATATATATTTTCATTTTTCTTGGGTGTAATACATAGGTAAGGAATTGCTGGGTCATACGGTAATTCTATGTTTAACTTTTTGAGAGACTACCAAACTGTTTTCCACAGTGGTTGCACCATTTTATATTCCCTCCAGCAATGTACAAGGATTCCTATTTCTCCATATCCTCATCAACATGTGTTATTTTCCCTTTTTTTTTTTTTTACTATAGCCATTTTAGTGAGTATGAACTGGTATCTCACTGGGTTTTGGGGGGGATTTTAAAAGATTTTAATTTTTTTCTTTTTTCTTTTGGCTGCATTCGGTCTTTGTTGCTACGCACAGGCCTTCTCTAGTTGAGGTGAGCGGGAGCTACACTTTGTTGCAGTGAGCGGGCTTGTCATTGTGGTGACTTCTCTTGTTGAGAAGCATGGGCTCTAGGCACACAGGCTTCAGTAGGTGTGAAACACAGGCTCAGTAGTTGTGGCGCACGGGCTTAGTTGCTCTGCGACATGTGGGATCTTCCCGGACCAGGGCTTGAACCTGTGTCCCCTGCATTGGCAGGCAGATTCTTAACCACTGTGCCACCAGGGAAACCCATCTCACTGGGTTTTAATTTGCATTTTCTTAATGATAAATAGTATTGAATATTTTTTCATATGTTTGTTGGCCATTTGTATATCTTCTTTGGGGAAATGTCTACTCAATTCTTTTGCCCACTTAAAATTGGATTTTGTGTCTTTCTGTTATTGAGTTGTAAGAGTTCTTTAGATATGCTGGATATTACACCCTTATCATATACATGCTTTGCAAATATTTTCTCCCATTCCATAGGTTGTCTTTTCACATTCTTGATAATGCCCTTTAATGCACAAAAGTTTTTAATTTGGTGAAGTCCAATTTATCTAATTTTTTCATTTATGCTCGTGCTTTTGGTGTCAAATCTAAGAATTCCATTGCCAAATCTGAAATCATGAAGATGTACTCTCATGTTTCTTTTTTGTTATTGTTTTACAGTTGAAAAAAAATTTATTCATCATGTTTCTTATAATAGTTTTATAGTTTTGGCTCTTATGTTTAGGTCACTGATCCATTTGGAGTTAATTTTTGTACAAGGAGTACAATTTCTCTAGTGCAAATACCCCCACCCACATGAGGTCACTGAATTCAGAGTTGAGAAGAGCTATCATTACATAGTATTTCTACCAAACTGATGTAATAAACATGATCTCGCAAGCATAAATAGTAAAATGTAGCGAAATCTTTAGGAAGTAATGATTTTATTACAGCTGTTTTTAATATAAGTTATTTGTAGGTTTATATAATTTAACATTTAATGAGGGCTGTGTTTAACAATCAGCTTGTGAAGTTTCTGAAAACTCAACAATTGACTCTCGCAAGGTAGCCAGCTCTAGCAACACCACCAGGATCGACTACCAAGTGGCACTTGGGAGCTTTCGAGGGTGACAAAAATGTTCTACATCTTGACTGTGGCAGCAGCTATAAGACTGTATAAGTTTGTCAAGATATATAGAACTGTGCATACAAACAGGCTAATTTTACTGGATGTCAGTTATACTTCAATAAACCTGAAATAAGGGGCATATGGTAACTCACAAACTTCCCAGAGGCACCACAGAATCAGATTTGGAGGCTGGAATAGCACCCAGGGCTAGTGGCGAGGCTTCTGCTACTGTCCCTGAACACAGGTGTGGCGGCTCCCACCACCAAGGTGGGCAGGGAAGCCCCTGCCAGGACCCCACCCCGGCTGCCACTGGACTCTGGCTGTCTCTCCATCCTACTCTGACAAACTCATCTGTACTGAGCCTGCCAGTGCCTCTTCCCTGTCAGAACCCTGTGTCTGCATCTGATTGATGGAGGTGAGATCACACAGCTACACTAGCTGCAAGGGAGGCTGGAAAGTGAATTTCTTTCTTTCTTTTTTTTTTTTTTTCCCATGCCATGTGGCATGTGGGATCTCAGTTCCCTGACCAGGAATCGAACCTGTGCCCCCTGCAGTGGAAGTGCAGAATCTTAACCACTGGACTGCCAGGGAAGCCCCTGGAAAGTGAATTTCTGATTTCTACCTTGGAGGAGTAGGACTCGTAGAGTGGGAGACACCTCGAATCTAGGAAGAGAGTTTACAGGATGCAAAGTGGCCACATGAGCATGAAAACGGTCCCCTACAATGACCACCAGTTACCGTCACCAGCACATGACCACGGATACCAGCAACAGTGTCATCCTAGTTATTGTTATAAGCCTGGTTCCAGCCCTTCCGTGTGAAGGCCACACAGACTGTTAGAACCCACGTGGAGACAGGTGTCAGCCAGGCCCCTTCGTAGAGAAGCTTACCGTCTGGTCGGAAGGCCTGGTCACCCATCCTATGGGGCAGTGTGTGCTCAGCTGCCACAGAAGGACAGGAGGACTTGAGACAGACAGCTACAGGAGCCAGAGGGAGAGGTCCCCCGGGAATGGGGAGGAAAGGGAAGGCTTCCTGGAGAAGGGGGCATTTGAGCTGAGCTTTGAAGGGTGGGAAAGACTTAGACAAGGGGAGCAAGGAGGAGGGCACCTCATAGGAGGACCCGTGTGGGCAAAGGCATGTTAGGGTGTCTGGCTGGTGAAGAAATGTAGGCATTGCTTCGCAAAATTCTTGGCCACAGCTTCAGAGTGAGAAACACATTTTACCTGTAACACACACATATGCCTAAATGAATAAGAATTTCACACAGCAGCACCTACCCCACCACATGCTGTGCTCTTTGATGTTTTCTATCCTAGTTGATCCTGTTTTACTATTTTTTTCAAGTGCTAGTCATCACTCATTAAATTGACGTCATGACCCATCAGTGGGTCACGACCTGCAGTTTGAAAATCACAGATGCATGCAGGGGCCATAGATCTGGGGGAAGAAGCAAGCGTGGGGCTATAAAAGGCCTTGAACACCAAACGACAGCATTTTTGTTTGTCTGGTTTTTGTTTTTGTTTTGTTTTGGCCACACCGTGCAGCTTGTGGGATCTTAGTTCCCCGACCAGGGATTGAACCCAGGCCCGAAAATGCCGAGTCCTAACCACTGGACCGCCAGGGAATTCCCAAATTCACTACATTTGGACTCTGCCCTATAGATTCTTGATCCCGGAGGTCAGGTGCGGAGTTGCGATTTGAAATGATTACTATACACCATCTATCAGTCTTTAAAATGCACATAATATTTGACCCAGCAATTCCACTTCTAAGAATGCAGCCTGGAAAGACACCCATCAAGGAGCTCAAAAGAGGGTGTTTGCTGCCACACTGCTTCTCACTGGAAAAATTGGAAGCAACTAAATGTGGAATACTATGCAGCCCTTCAAAAGAATGAGGTCAGTCTTGATTGTGAAGAGATCTCTGGGACATTTTGGGGGTTGGGGGGAGAAACAAGATCAAGTCACAGAGCCAGAAGTGTTGTTTGCTTTCAGTTTTGGATAAAACACACTGGTACATGTGTACGCACATTTACATGTGTGGATGACTTTTTAAAAGATCTAGAAGGAAATTCGGACACATGCTACAACACAGGTGAAGCCTGAGGACATTATGCTAGTGACATAAGCGAGTCACAAAAGGACAAGTACTGCATGATTCTACTTTTATGAGGGACCAAGAGTAGTCGGATTCATAGAGACAGAAAGTAGAAGGGTGGTTGCCAGGGGCTGGCTGGAGGGGGGATGGGAGTCAGTGTTTTATGGGGACAGAGTTTCCGTTTGGGAAGATGAAGAAGTTCTGGAGATGCATGGTGGTGACGGCTGCACAGCGCTGTGACTGTACTTAATGCCCCTGAACTGCACTCTTAAAAATGGTTAAAATGGTGAATTTTATGTTATGTATATTTTATCACATACACAAAAAAAGATTTAGAAGACCCTACACCAGATCTAACAGTGGTTGCCATGGGAAGGGGAGTGAACTGGGGTTAGTGCAGGTAAAGGGGGTCTTTCACATTTCACTCTCTATGCTTCTGTATGTTTGTAATCTTTGCAATGAGCGCTTGTTATTGGATAACTCACATGATTTTTTAAAATCCAGTTTTTAAAAATATATACATATGTAAAGTTCAGGTGACCCTAGGAGGGTCAAAGGGTGGACATGAGGGAGGGGTTAGGGTCCAGAGAGGCCTGGAGGTGCTGGAGGGTATGGCCAATAAGGGGTTACCTTATTAAGACCAATACTGAGCACGGTGCGTGGGATGTCTAAATAGCTCCCTGGAAGAGGTAGTTATAATCCACTGCAGGAAACATTAGGAGCTCTGGGACCCCAGAGGAGGTGCTTAACCCAACCAGAGAATCAGGGAGGGCTTCCTGCAGGAGGTGGCCGGAGCAGGAGTGTGGACTATGAGAAGGCTGAACAGTAGCAGCAGGAGACTCGGAAGCAGCACCTTCTGCAGTCCACAGCCGGGACCCCAAGCATCCCCTGGGCTGGAGGCTGTTGGTCCCACCCCCCCATCCCCCACACAGTTCCTGCCCAGCCCCCCGCCCCCCCAGAGAATGGCTGCGGGGCAGTATGGGGGCAGTAACGCAAATCACCTCCTGGGTGTAGCTCTCATTATTTCTCAGTGACTGGCGCTGCAGAACCACTTTGGCCTGGTGGAGGTGGGAACAGATGCTTTGCTCCCTGCTCTTCCCCCAGCCCTCCTGCAAGAGCCCCCAACCCTAATCACATCTGGTTCACATTGGTCCTGTTTGGTTCCAATTGTCTCACTTCCTGCTACCGTCTCTGGGCACCCCGCCCCCCCCATCTGTGGGAACAGACCCCTCCCCCTGCCCTCCCCTCAGCCTGCAGCAAGTCCCGCACAGAGGAGTCCCCCAGCAGCCCTGTGGATCCCCCCTTGACCGCTCTCGTGAGCGTGATGGGTCATCTCACTGCCCCCCCGATGTGCCTCCTGGACATTATTCTGGGGTGCCCTGGCTCTGGTGATGCCCACCTGCATCCTACCGGGTCTGACCCAGACATCTACTAGGAACCCGCTATCCCGTGCCTTGCCCCCTTCACCTTCTGGGGAGGGGCCTCCTGTGTCAAGCAATGTGCCGGGCTCCTCCATCCCCACACCCAGCCCTCTCTGGGAGGTCCTTGGTGACAGTGAGCCAGAGAAGGCATGTTTCCCTGGAGGGCATTTCTCTCCAAAGGAAATAGTCCTAAAGCCATTTCCAGGGGTTGCTGGACCTCAGGGACAGAGCTGTACAGGGTGAGGATGGGGAGGCGGGGTCAGGGCGCAAAGAGCTGATGGGACAGGAGGAGATGGGGGATGACTGACCCCAGAGAGCAGGCACTCCAGGCACCCACCCACATGGAGCCAGAGGAGTGATGTGGAGGGAAAGTCAGAGAGTTCCCTCTACTCCCACCTCTGGGATCAGCTGGGAGTGCGGCTCTCTCTCCAGTGCAGGACGGTACCCGGGTGATACATGCTCTGTAGCATTTGTCCCGAATTATCACTAATCAGTGACACGCTGCTCTTACCATAAGCCAAGCCTTCAAAGTGCGTTAACTCCTTTTATCCTCTCAGCAACCCCATGAAGGCACTATCATCATCATCATCATCATCACCATTAGCATCACCATCATCACCACCATCCCCATTTTACAGATGAGAAAGCTGAGGCAGGAAGAGGTTCAGTAGCTGGCCCAAGGCCGCACAACTGGTAAGTAATGAGGCCAGCATCTGGGCCCAGGAGCCTCTTAATCTCAAAGGCCAGGAGTACCCAGTGAGCTGGGGCCTCTGAACCCACCACTACCCCTCCCCCCGACTGGACCAGACCCTGCACTGGGAACTCCTTGAGGGCAGGAACAGGGGACAGGCTTCCTCTCTGCCTCCCCTGAAGCCAGCACTAGACATTCACTCATTCATTCATTCATCCCATAGGATTTTTACTGAGTACCTCCAGGCAGTCATGTGCCAAAACCCCCTCCTGAGCCTCCGGCCCCTCATCTGCAAAATGCGAATGTTGTCTGAACAGAGGAGTCCAAATATATTACAGCGGCCCATGGATGTAATATCTCCTAGTAGCCACGTTTAAAGGAGTAAAAGGTAACAGGTGAAATTAATTTTAATAACATACTTTTTGAACCGAGTATCTCCAAAATACTAGCATTTCAGCATGCAATCGATGTAAAAATAATGAATGAGATATTTGACATGCTTTTGTTTGTACCGGCCCCGAGAAATCCTGTGCACATCCCCCTTCCGGCACATCTTCCTTTGGACTAGCCACACATCCATTGCTCAGTAGCCACGTGTGGCCATCGTACTGGACAGCACGGCCCCAGACTGGAGGGTTCAATAGAGATCAGAGGGCACGGGTGTGTAAGCCTCCAGCTCCCAGCCTGGCCCACAGTAGGAACACGTACAGGTGCGAGGGTCCCAGCGCCTTCCTGCCCTCAGCCTGGCAAAGCCTCCCCTTTCCTCCTGCACAGCCAGGAGTCAAGGCCCCTCTGGGATGCCCCTGGGACTGAGGCGCTGCTGGCTTTCCAGGAAGAAGCAGGAGGAGGAGGGGGAGAGCAGTCTGGGGCCTCGAGGAGGGAGCTGCTGCTGCCGCCTGGCACGGGGACAGAGTTTGTTTGCACCTCTTTGAAGCCGGGAGATGAAAGCGGAGCCCACACGGCTGCCTTTGATTCCCTCCTCCCTGGGCCCTCGCAGCTGCAGCCAGGCCAGGCCCAGCCCTTCGCTACCGGGGCGGGAGCAGAAGAGGCCCCAGGCCAAGGGCGTTTCTCCCCTGGGTGGCTTGGAACGTAAGCAGAGGAAGCACCCTCCGTGCTGGGGGATCTGCCCTCCCATAGACGGACCCACCCAAAAGGCAGAGTGACAGCTTCCCTGGAGAGGAAGGAGCAGGCGTGATGTGCAGGATGCGGGGGAGCCTGCAGCCTCGAATCTGTCTTCTGCTGACGCCTGAGTGTCCACCATCAGTGGTCAGGCCTTACAAACAAATGCAACAAGAGGATGGCGTTGGTTGAGAGTTGGGTGGATACCTTCACCTCTCTAAGCCTCTTTAATTCAACCAGTATTTATCGAGGGCCTACTGTGTGCCTGCCAGGTGCTGTTCTAGGTGCCCTCCTAGTATGTTTCACAGAGCAGATGGAATGAAATGATGTATGCAAAGTGCTTAGCATGGCGACTGGCATGTGGAAATAGCTCAGTACACGTCAACCGGCATCATCATCATCGCCATCATCACCATTATTGCTAAGTACTGCAGGGTCTCTTAACCACTCCCAGGCACTGAGGGAAGAGAACCAGCTGCTAGAAGAGTGCCCACCCCCAGGGCTAATCCTTCATCCTTTGGCCTGAGCTCTACCTCCTCTCTCCTAGGTCCCTTGGGGGCAGGCCGTGGCCTGGGGGGGAAGCAGGACCACTGACCTTGACCACTGATGTCTCTGGACCAAGAGTGGCAGCTCAGACCACAGGTATCATGCTCTGGGACCTCCTGCCGTAATGGATGCAAAGTCACATCTGGGATCCTAGTGGGCCCCTCCCCTGACCCAGGCCTGCCGACCCCTCCACGTGCAACTGGAGGCCACGGGGCAACGGCACTTTAGAGCAGCAGGCGGTAGGACATCTGCTGTACCAGGCACGTGGCTTCTGCAATCCCAGACCCCATATGGCCCTGGCAGCATGGACTGGGTGTCCTCTGCCCTGATCCCCGTCCAGACAGTGTCTGGATTCTCCCAGCCACGCCACCTTGGAGGAAGACCCGCCTCTGTCCTCCTCTGGTACAGGGCGCTGGCTGCACCGTCCTGGTCACCTCGTCCTTGCACACACATTGCTTTTCACAGTGCTCAGTACATGGCGGGGGAGGGAGGGGGTCTGTGAGCCCCACACAGGCCTGCCCCTCACTCCTGCTCCTCTCCTGCTTGACGGCTTGCTGCCTCTCACGGGTCAGGGAGGAGACGTGGTGCCGCCAGGGCTGCAGAGGAGAGCAAAGTGGGTAAGACCCAGGTCCCGAGCGCTCCTGGGCAAGCACTGGGTTTGCGGGCGTGCGTGTGCAGGCCCTTCCGAGATACACGTCTGACCCTCACCGATGGTCGTCCCCATTTCACAGATGGGGAGGTCCAGGCTCTTCCACAGTCACACACTTAGGAAGGAGGGCAGCCCGGATTTGGAGCCAGGCCTGATTGATTCCAAAGTTTGTGTTCTTTTCACTCAAGCACACTGCCAGGCCCTCTCCTCAGCTCAGAGCAGCCCCAGGTGGCTTCTCCAAAGCCTGAAACTCCAGGGCCAAGAAGCCTGCCCTACAGACAGATGTACTGGAGCAGAGGAATACTGGCCTTGGAGACAGACCGGCTGGCTGGAAATCCCACCAGCCCCGGGACCCCGGGCAGGTCATCTCACCTCAAGACCTTCATCTTCTCTTTCAGGGATTTCCCAAAGCATGCATGGCTGGCAGAATGACTTTAGGTGGTACTCAGCCTTTTCTTTCTATTTTAGTTGTTAGAGATTTGTTCTATTGTGTATTAAACCAGAGAGATGTGACTAGCGCGTCCAACCCACAATTTCACGGCTATTTTGCTTAGGTGGTGTCTGCGTAAGTGAGAAAGGTGCGTTGACTGGAGGGATGATACTAAGGAAGTAAAAACACAGGTGGTAGGAGGACGTGGCATATCAGTTGCCCATGTCTGGGGAACAGGAGCTGGTACAATGACCACATCAGCGAGAGGAGGATACCAGGTGGCTAGGGGGGCTAGAAGCAGGGTGCCCTGGCCCCATTGGCTGGGGCGAACCCCATGGAGGCCTGGACTGGAGAGAAGGAAGCAGGCAGGGAGGTGGGAAGAGGGAGAGAGGCCAGCGGGGCTCCAGGGCTTACCCCAGCCG